TACACAAAATTTCAAATGTAAGGATAAGATTTATTTATGTTGCGACCCCAAAAAAAAATAAATTAAACACACACCATTGATATAAAATCTTTGTCCATTTTTTGGTTCCTTTTTTTGATCGGTAGACTTTCCTAAACTCAATCGCAATTGTTAGGTCCCTTAGTCTTGTCAATTCTGTGAACAAACATGGTATATCGAGTTGTAACTGTTCTTGGAAATTTGTCTTGCTCGCTCGAGCGAAGGACTCCTAACTCGAGCGAAGAAACTTTGGTCCCGATAGTTTTCTCTGTCTGCAAAAATACTGGGAAGGAATTTTGTGCGCTCGAGCGAACCTTTTGGTGGCTCAAGCGAAGGTGCTTAAGGAATACACGCAGATCTGTCACGTCACTCGAGTGAGAGATCCTTCACTCAAGCGACCATCGCGGCCCTGTTTGCTATAAAGCTGCGTTTCAGTGAGAATTTAGGGTACGGCTTCCAGTTATTCTTTTTGGAGTTCTAAGATTTTCTTCTGGAGGTTATGTGTCAGTTTTCCTTTGATTTCTTTGTGAGTTTATCCATGGATCAAGAAACTTAAAATCATAGGGTTGTCGGTTTGTTTTTATTAATACAAAAGTGTTGTTCTTCGGTAGATTCCGAAGATTCAAGCGTGAAGTATTCGAAGGAGTTTGAAGTTGTGCGTGGTCGTTGATTCGACATAGATGTTGTGGATTCAATATCAAACTGATCAATTCCGAGACGAAGGCAGCAGTGAAAGAGGTACAGATTGTTGAAGACAAATTGACAGAGTTTGGGTAATTTGTTTGGTAAATTTTTATTTTTTCTTTCTTTCATAGTGGATTGATTAGTGGCGTTTCGCTCGTGGTTTTTTAATCACAATTGGACGTCCTCCAATTGTGGTTTTTTCACATAAAAATTGATTGTGTCGATTTATTGTTTTAGATTGTTAGTTTTAATTATTTGGAAATTGTTGCAATTAATTCTGATCTGAATCACGAATCACTCAGATTTTTCAGCAATGTTCACAATTGAATTTAAAAAATGCTAGAGATTTTAAAAAATTTATCAAAAATTTTACACAATATTCACATGGGTGTGAATCTCATATCATATGAATTCCACACCAATATAAATATTAGGGTAATTTCAAATATTTTTCTTGAGATTTACTTAAAATATGAATTATTCCTTGTGCTTCAAAAAATTACAAATACCTCCCTTGCTAGCATTTTTTATTCAATTGAATTAATAAAAAAAATGAAATTTCTAACTATTATCCTATTCAACAATAAATTACCTAAATTATTAATTAAAATATATTTCAAATATCATTAAAAATTGTTAATTAACTTGATAACTTTTTAATAAAATGGAGAATTTTTTATGCAATTGAAAACTTGAAAGTGTGAGATATAATTTCTAGAATCATCAGTGCCAATCTATATTTTAAGATTTATCCTAAATATTATGTAAAATTTTTAATAATTTTTTCGGAATCCCTAACCTTGATCATGGAAATTTCCCCATCGAACATCTCTAAAAATGTACTAGAATTCCAAGAGGTTTTAAGTTGACCCAGAAGGAATGTTGATGAGGTCAAATGTTATGAACTGTCAATTTAATTAGTTGTATTCGATCAACAAATAAAAATGGTACCAACCAATTGGAAATAGTGATATAAGCCTCTATATATATATATATATGTGTGTGTGTGTGTGTCTTATCAAATCCAGAAAGAGATGTCATAGGGGATTGGAGCATCACGGGACCCGTGAGGCTCATCACGGGTCTCATTTCGATAATTCAAACCATTCAATATATAGATCTCGTTGAGTACTTTATGATTGTAAAAAATCACGTTAATCAGATGTTGGTAGCCCTTTCATCGAAACTCATTTTGGTTAACAATTTATTTTTAAAATCATATTTACCATTGACAGAAATATGTTCCGATCAAGGGACTATCGATACTCGATCAACGTGATTTTTTACAGGCATAAAATACTCGAGCACTACACATTGAACGATTCTGATTATCGAAACAGGACCTGTGATGAGCCCCACGAGCCCAACGGTACATTCTAGTTCACATGAACTTGAGAGAAACCTCTCCAGCAAGTAAATGTTTTCAGACAAAAAGACAAACTATGCTAAAATAGTCAATAAAACAAAATATCATATCAAATTCATAGTCATTTCATTTTTTCTCTCACAAATATCACATCTAATTACAAATAGAATCTAACTATCTTCCCATATATAACAATTTTAACATATTAAAATAATTAAAAATTAAAATAACTTGCTAAAATAGCTAACTTCCCAAAAGAAGCCATACAAAGTAGAGTGGTCCATGCATATTATGCGTGCCCAAATTTCATTTTGCATGTTTGTGAAGCAAGACAACATGAACCTTTGACCATTGCAATTAAAGCCGTGTAAAATATAGCTCAATCCATTAAAATTGCACCGATTCGCATCAATCTGTATCGTTCTAACCGCTAACCATGGTTTAAATTTTAAAATTTATAATCTGCCAACTTAATTGCTCCACTCCGCTATAATTAATACATATATATTTTTTTAAGGGGGATTTGGTGATAGCCCCCTCACTATCTAATTTATCTTTCAAAAGGACAAGAATTATATAAGTACTTTCAAAACCCCCTGATATTTTAAAACTTGTTTCTTTTACTATATTACCCTCATATCTATCAGCTCTTCTATTAAGCCATCTTCACTATGTATTTCAGTGTAAAATTTTACTTTCATACAGAGTAAAATTTTACTTTAGTTTTAGAGTGTAAAATTTTACTTTCATATAGAGTAAAATTTTACTTTCATACAGAGTAAAATTTTATTTTCATACAGAGTAAAATTTTACTTTCATACAGAGTAAGATTTTACTCTGGTTCTGTCAAATGAAAAAAACAGAGCAAAATGAAATTAGATAAAAAACAACAAAAATAAATCAAAAAAAAAACAAACAAACAAAAACAAAATAAATTAATCAACAAATCAACATATCTAATTGAGAAGAAACACTTCTAAAACTCCATCAACAATCACCTGGTTCTGTCAAATGAAAAAAACAGAGCAAAATGAAATTAGATAAAAAACAACAAAAATAAATCAAAAAAAAACAAACAAACAAAAACAAAATAAATTAATCAACAAATCAACATATCTAATTGAGAATAAACACTTCTAAAACTCCATCAACAATCACAAATCTCAATGAAAATAATACATGTGTTCAACAACACTCATACACACAAATATATATATATATATACATATATTCTACTGTTCCTCATCTACATCCTTCCCAACCTCCTGTTCAACTTCTTTCAATCTCGAAGCTTCAGCCTTCGCATTCAACATCGCAAGCATCTCATCAACAACCTCATCATGTTTCTTCTCCGCTTCCAATTGAGCCATCTCCACCACACTCCGAATCTCCCCCATCTGCTCCGAAACCCTAGCTTTCAAATCTCCAAAGAGCTTATTCAGATCTTGAGACAAAGAGCTTATTCCTTAGGTGCAAACAACGAAGCCATTGATTGAGGATGAACTTTTGCTATTTTGATCTTCTTATTGTTTCTATAGAGGCATTTGCTACCAGATCTGGTCACTCCGACCAGATCTCCTTTGAAGCCCTAGCCATGGAGTCATCATCTATGTATATGCAATAGTTGTATCAGACGAAGCTTGAGAGATTGAGATTGTGATTAGGGAAGATTTAATTGAGTGTATAATAGTCTGATAAAATATTTAAATAATAAATTTTGTCCTTTATATAAGAATTTATAATTATGAGGGGGTTTTAAAAGTATAATTTTTTTCTTAGTCTTTTTAACAATAAAAGGAAGATAAGGGGGGTTTATAGCCAAATTTTCCTTTTTTTAATTTCCAATGAAATATCAATGTAAAAATGAGTGTGAGAGAGATTAAAGATATAAAATTTATTACAAATTATTATATATATGAAAATATTATGTAAAATTACTTTGTGTTATATATCTAAAAAATATTATATAAAATAGTGTTATATATTATGCGAATGTATGATAATTAGTTAGAATATTCTTCAATCCGCCGATCCGCCAAAAACCGCCCAAACCGTAATTTATCAATCCGCTAATCCGCTAACCCGTCATTCGATTTATAATTTTACTCTCAAACCGCCCGAACCGCAGCACGCAAGCCCTTAATTGCAATACATATCATGTTTATCTTATTAGGCTACAATTATGACCATTTCAAAAGCCTCTTGTTTTTTTCAACAACAAAAAAAAAATTTGTCATTCGATGATATTTCTTTTTTTGAGTAAATTATACTTAGCTCCTGTTATATTTTCTATTTTCTAACTTTAACTTAAAAAAAAAAAATCTCACTTTGGCCCTTCGAGTTTTAAATTTTTTTCAATTTATTGTTAAAGCTAATTTTTGTTCAAAATTAGACATAAAAAATCACATTAATATTGACATGACATGAAATATATTATTATACTTAACCTATATCACTGACCCATACTTAAACTCAAATAATAATATATTTTTTTATGTCACTTGACAACTAACGTGGTATTTTCTATTTAATTTTAGACATAAGTTAGCTTGTAAGAATGGGAAAAAAAATTAAAACGTGGAGGGAAAAAAAAAAAAAAGAAGCACAGTAAAGGCCAAAATAACAAAATAGTAAAATATAAAGAGAGCAAAGTGTCATTTCACTACAAGAACAAACACCTTTAGCGATCACCTTTTTCATGTTGGTCGTAGATAGTTCACTTTCTGCGACCAAAATTTTCCTTGGTTGCGGATTAGTTATGTTTTCACCACCAACACTTTTCTGGTGGCTGATAGGTAATTTTTTGCAACGAAATAGGAAATGCGGTCGTGCAAGGTAATGGCCGTAAAGCGAAATAAAAATGGCAGGATCTCAAAACCATTGGTGACCAATAAATTGTTGTCACAAAAAAGAAAATGAGTATTTATGAAGCAAAACTACATAGTTTTGAATATTTAAATCAATTTTTTTTTTCATTATCTAATTCCTAAATCAGTTTGAGCTTCATTTTTCATTGTTTCAACTCCTCACTCATTCCCAATCAGAAACACAGCCTTAGCCACCATCTCCATTCACTTCGTCCCTTGTTCACTGCCAATCAAAACCAACTTTATTGCCTCTTCTCTCGCATTTCACCCACCACCAAGTTTGCTTCCTCATCTCTTGCATTTTGTGGTCCAATCGAGTATTCTCTCTCTCTCTCTCTCTCTCTATATATATATATATATATATATGTATATTATATGCTCATCTTCATTTTGATTTTTGTTTTGTTTTTTCTTTCTATGCTTATCCATTTGATTAGTGGACTTTCATTGTCACTGAAAGAACCGGTTTCATTGTCTTCGTTTTGATTTTTGACACTAAAAGAACTAGATTCATTGTCTTTGTAGATGTTCAATGTCTCTGCTATTTTAGTTGTTACTCATACATTTTTCTTTTCTTACAATCATTTCTGAGCACTGATGTGTATGTATTTGGAACAATTTAAACTAAAAATTAGGTAGCTAGTTGTATATAGTGTTTGTTGAATTGGGTTTGAGAGTTGTTGTTGTATTTGAAGGTTTTGGGTATTGTATTATATATTTGGTATTATGGGTTGCTATTACCATTTACTATTATGATGTAACAATCTGATTTATTATTGTGAAATCATCGTATTATATGGATTATTTTAGATTTTGATTGATTGTAATTTCTTTAGTAATCCCTAAATTTTTTTTGGTACATAAAACTCTAATATTGAAAACCCTAATTTCGAAAACTTAGTATGCCATATAGCATAGACTTTATTACTAAATTCTCAATACATGCAATAAACTGTAAACCATAATCTAATTACTAGAACTTATATTTGAGATGTATGATTCTTCTGTTATCAATATAGGACTTTTGTTGTTTCTTCTGATTCTTTTGATTCTTCTGTTTGCGGTACTAGTGCTTATGCTGGTTCTGGTTTGATGCAGTGATGATAGCCAGCTTTATGCTGTTTCTAGTTCTAGTTTGGTTCTATTTTGGTGCTAGTTCTGTTTTGTTGTTGATGTTCTGCTGGTGCTGTGTGCTGTTGTTTCTGTGTTATTCGTAATAAATTATAAATTTTAACAAATGGTGAGTCGAGAGTGGACTAAACCTTGGATTTAAATTCCAAGTAAGAATAATGAGTATTAAAATAGGATGGTGGATGTAAACTTATTCACCCTGAATAAAGACATACATAAGAAATCATTGACTTGGTTTTAACATTTAATTGGTTCATTCACCAAATTGACATTTATTTTAAAGTTGATTTCCCCCCCCCCTTTTTTGGTCATTATTGTCAATGTGTGCTGAGGGTGAGGGAATCATAATTGGCTCAATTAGTTTCTCGATTAGTCAATAAGTCCTTGTTGCACCAGTAAAATGAAAGAATGGGTCACGCAATCGACCCTATGTGTATATATATGTACATATTTTTTTTTAAAAAAAAATTAACAAGTTTGATACTAAATAACCTAATCAAAACCATAGACGTACTTCCTAAATTTTGCCAGCTTATAAAGTTTTTTTAATAACTTCAGATTATAAATCTTATTTTGTTGTCCTCTATTATCTTTTCTTCTCTTTTTCTTTTCCTAGACTTGATTACATGGCAACCATAGTCATCTGAGGATTTGATTTGAGTAATATACCATTGATGTTTTGTAGAACTTTCTTGGCTTTTCTGTTGGAGCCTTCACAATAGATGGGGACTTTCAAAAGCCATGTCTGAAAACACAAAATTAAAATTAATATTAGTCACTTGTATATAATTTATTGGTTTTTTGTGCTAATTGGGTTGTGTGAAAATTAGTTAGTTGGTTCTTGGTTTATTCACTTGTATATAATTTATTGTTTTTTGTTATAACCATACGCAATAAATGATGCGTTTACCTAACATAAACTTTACTTTATAGGTGACCAAATATGGACAAGAGTTGGATGTCCATTAGAAGCAAATTGAGTTCAGAGTATAAAGAAGGGCTTGAGTCATTTCTCCAATTTGTGATGACAAATATTGGCCTAGTTAATAGAATTCGTTGTCTGTGTATGGATTGCCTAAATTTTGAACGTCATACCATCAAGGATGTGGAATATCATTTGATCTGAAAAGGGATGTCACTTTCATACAAAACTTGGGTGCACCATGGGAAAACTGTTCCAGTCACTCAACCTCGTGTGTGAAATAATGACAATGAGGTTGAAGGTGTTGGTGATGAAGGGACAACCAATGAAAGCCTTGAACTTGAAGATGAATTGTGTGATATATTAGAAGACCAAGGCATGGAGGATATTTTTTATGATTATGAAAGGGATGAGTGGCATGATAATGAGCAAAGAGAGGATGCACGAAATTTTGATAAATTGTTAGAGGATACTCGGCGTTCGTTATACCTTGGCTGACAAAAGTTTACTTTGTTATCATTTGTCATTAAGATGCTTCATATGAAAGTGTTAAACAAGTGGCGCAATAAGTCTTTTGACATGTTGTTAGGTCTATTGAAAGACCTTTTACCAGAAAGTGACCAAAAGGCTCCATGGACCCTTCATGAAGCCAAGAAATTTTTGCGTGACTTGGGTTTAGGATATGTGCCTATTCATGCATGTAAGTATGATTGTGCTCTTTTTTTGAAGGAAAATGCAAATTTAGAAAATTGTCCGATTTGTAAGGAGCCTAGATGCAAACTGAATGATGGCAAAGGTAAGAAGATTCCTCATAAGATTTTGAGATATTTCTCGTTGACACCAAGGTTGTAAAGATTATACATGTCGAGAAAAACTACTGTAGATATGAGATAGCACAAAGAAAAACATGTTGACAATGGCATATTAAGGCATCCAGCCGACGGTGAGGCATGGAAGGACTTTGACAGGCAACATGCTGTGTTTGCCCAAGAACCACGTAATGTGAGGCTAGGGTTGGCCATCGATGGTTTCAATCCTTTTGGAAATATGAGCAACTCATATAGTATGTAGCCAATGGTAGTTATGTCTTATAATTTGCCACCATGGAAGTGTATGAAACAGCCATTTTCCATGATGTCATTGCTTATTCCTGGACCACAAGCACCAGGGAGAGATATTGATGTTTACTAAAGGTCATTAATTGACGAATTGAAGGAGTTGTGGAAGATGGTGTAGTTACGTATGTGTAGACACCCCATTTTTGACCAACCTTGAGACTCAGACGTCACCAGTTGAGCGCTTGGTGACACTGCATATCGTGCTCGTCCAGAAGTTTTAGAGTCTCGGCTGCGAGCCTTGCCTCCGGACTTCCGGACTCTTTTGTGCTTTGCCTCGGTTTGTGAACCAGGTCTTATTTTCTCTGTTTTCTCTTCCCGAAGGGAGGGAGAGGTCTCATAGATCATATCTCAGTGGCCGTAGGCTACGTTTCGTGGTCGTAGGCCATTTTTTCCCATTTGGAGCCCGGTTTTTGATTTTCGGAGCCGTCGACCCTGTGCCTCAGTTCGGGACCGCCTAACCACCTTTGTTTGCTCCGGTTTTTAGTATACACCTTATTTCCTCCCTTTTGCAAACACAAAACAGGATAGTGATGTCCGAGGTAACACCCCCGAAATCACCTGACTCCAACACAACAAGACAGATTCGATACAACAAGACTGACTCAACTGACTCCGTACAAAAGGACTAACTCAATACAAAACAACAAGGCTGACCCAATACTGAAGTCAGAAAGTACAAAAACTAGCATTTGCACAATGCTCAAAATAGTGCGGGCCATCCATCATATTTGGAGTAAACTGGGTGCCATCTGCAGGTGGTTCATCCCTCTGATCATATCACATTATCCACCATGATGATAATGATCTGCATCTGGCCTACATCGATGAAGACTGGGGCGAGTGCCTTCCGGACAACACGTGGTATGCCGAGGAAAAAGACCATTTGACAAAAAGTGGGCGGTATTTTAAGCCGCCGCACCTCTGGTAAGCAAAGGCGTCTGGAAAAGACAAAAAGGCTGAGAAACAGAAAAAGAAACGACTAGAAAAAGAGGCAGTATTGAAACAGCTCAAGAAAATTCAGGCAGATATCTCTATCTGGGGTCTTCTCATGGCCTTACGAGTACACCGGCAGGTAGTGCTATCAGCAATGGACAAGGCTAAATTGTCCATTGATACCACACCCGAGTAGCTTGTGGGTTTGGTCTTTCCAATTGGTGCCAGGCCATCGCTTACTTTCTTTGATAAAGAGCTGCCGCCGGAGGGCTCGGCTCACAATAAATCATTGTACATATCTGTGTAATGCAAGGAGCAATAGGTACCGGTGGTGTTGGTGGATACTGGTTCAACCATTAATGTCTGTCATTCCCATACTACCTATGCAATTGGCCTTAAACCAGCGGACTTTGTTCCTACAGCCCAAGTAATACGGGTGTATGATAACACAAGTAGAGAGGTCATAGGTACGGTGCAAGTTAGAGTCCAGGTAGGCCCAGCTAAGCAAGAGGTCAAGTTTCATGTCTTAGATGTACCGGCTACCTTCAATTTGCTGTTAAAGAGGCCCTGGTTGCACCATGTGAAGGCTGTCTCTTCCACTCTCCATCAGATATTAAAGTACCCTCATAGGGAGGACTGGCAATTGTTTTTAGGAACTCCTCCATCCATCCACCTCTGGAGGTGACTACACCAGTGCTAGAGATCAACCATGGCGAGGAGGATGTATTTCTCTTGGGATTCACTCTGGCTGAAGCCCAGGTAGTGCAGACCATTCTAGCCAGAGACGAAGGCATGTACATCAATGCCCAATCTATCTATTTCATGAACAAACTGTAACACGTTCCAGGAATGGGGCTAGGAATGAGTGGTCGGAAAGGTGTTGTAGCACAGACAGATGTGCCACACAACACACATGCCTTTGGACTGGGCTATGTGCCCACCCAAGAAGGCTGGATAAGGAAGGGAGAAGAGATGAGAGGCAGAGCCAAGGCCAAGAGAGCTGGAAAGCATTATGAACTCATCTACAGGCCAATCCAGGGGACATCGAATGGCCGCTTTGTTCGGGAGGGAGAAGATTTCCCTTTTTGTGGCTTTCCCGAGCATTGGGTGAATTCCTCGAAGCAGCGTGTCCTCGGGTTCGAGATTTTCTCCATTTGTGGAAGAAACAACAGCTAAAATGAGGTTTTAGAGAAGAAATCATAAAGGAAGACCTTTTGTAGAAGATAAAGCTGTGAGTGGAAGCTAGTTGTCAGCTTTCTGGTGGTTCTTCACATTAGTGGACGGCATGCCACTTTTTCTGGCCGGCAACCCACTTTTGTGGCCGGCAGCCCACGTTTCTGGCGTACCATCCACTTCTGGATCTGGCAGTGTTGGCAATCTGTTTTTTTTGTCCTGGTCTTTATGTTCTAAGGTTTTGTTTTGAGTCTTTTCATTTTAGCAAGTGCATTCATCTGTGTTTGAGTTGTTTTTGCTTTGCTTATCGAGTTGCATTTTGTATTTTGGTTGTTGGTCGGCTCATTACGCGATTAATAACATTGTTTCAATCAAGCGTTCTTGTTGCAAACTCAATTCCATTTCCACTTCATGAAAATATGGTGCTCATGATGAACACTTTTCATAAAAATTGGGAGGTGCTCATGATGAACACTTTTCATAAAAATTGGGAGGTGCTCATGATGAACACTTTTCATAAAAATTGGGAGGTGCTCATGATGAACACTTTTCATAAAAATTGGGAGGTGCTCATGATGAACACTTTTCATAAAAATTGGGAGGTGCTCATGATGAACACTTTTCATAAAAATTGGGAGGTGCTCATGATGAACACTTTTCATAAAAATTGGGAGGTGCTCATGATGAACACTTTTCATAAAAATTGGGAGGTGCTCATGATGAACACTTTTCATAAAAATTGGGAGGTGCTCATGATGAACACTTTTCATAAAAATTGGGAGGTGCTCATGATGAACACTTTTCATAAAAATTGGGAGGTGCTCATGATGAACACTTTTCATAAAAATTGGGAGGTGCTCATGATGAACACTTTTCATAAAAATTGGGAGGTGCTCATGATGAACACTTTTCATAAAAATTGGGAGGTGCTCATGATGAACACTTTTCATAAAAATTGGGAGGTGCTCATGATGAACACTTTTCATAAAAATTGGGAGGTGCTCATGATGAACACTTTTCATAAAAATTGGGAGGTGCTCATGATGAACACTTTTCATAAAAATTGGGAGGTGCTCATGATGAACACTTTTCATAAAAATTGGGAGGTGCTCATGATGAACACTTTTCATAAAAATTGGGAGGTGCTCATGATGAACACTTTTCATAAAAATTGGGAGGTGCTCATGATGAACACTTTTCATAAAAATTGGGAGGTGCTCATGATGAACACTTTTCATAAAAATTGGGAGGTGCTCATGATGAACACTTTTCATAAAAATTGGGAGGTGCTCATGATGAACACTTTTCATAAAAATTGGGAGGTGCTCATGATGAACACTTTTCATAAAAATTGGGAGGTGCTCATGGCACCGAGTCAGGGTTTCCTAAATTTCCCAAAATAAAATATTTAGGTGGCGACTCTGTATCTGGCAAAGCAGTCCATGTTTGGCACTTCTTTCAAAAATCTGTTTTTCTCAAAACGATTTGCCGGATTTGGACTCTTTGGTTCAGACTTAGAACCGTGACAAATTTGAGAGTCCTGAGCTGTAGTGACCCCAATATGAACAGAACGGGAGCTCGTTCCTCCCGGGGCGTTCAGGGACGTCTACAGTATGATGCCTCAACTAAGGCAAGTTTTCAAATGCGTGCAATTGTTATGTGGACTATTAATGACTTTCCAGCTTATGGTAACTTGTCAGGGTGGAATACAAAAGGATATTTGGCTTGCCCCAATTGTAATGAGAATGCATCATCACAACAGTTAAGAAGTAAGATAGGGTACACTGGTGCTCGCCAATACTTTCCTCAAGACCATCCTTGGCGAAAAAGTAAGCTCTTTAATGGTAAGGCAGATGATCGAGCAAGACCTCTGGAGTTGTCAGAGGAACAAATATTAGATCAACTGGATTCAAGAACATTTAAACCATTTGAGAAGCATCTAAACAACCAGAAAAGAAAAAGGGATGAAAATACAGTACTGAATTGGACAAAGAAAAGCATATTTTTCGAATTGCCTTACTAGAAGACACTCAAGTTACGACATAACCTTGTTGTCATGCACATAGAGAAGAACATATGTGACAATTTGATTAGAACTTTGTTGAGCATTGATGGAAAAAACAAGGACACGGAAAAAGCACGCATGGATTTAGAGGATATGAAAATTAGAAAAGATTTGCACTTAAAGAGGCGCTCAGATGGGTCCTTTGAAAAGCCCCTTGCATTGTACACATTGTCCCTAAAGGAAAGACAAGGTTTTTGTGCATTCTTAAAATCGATTAGGTATCCTGATGGATATGCAACAAACATCTCTAGGTGTATGAACACTAAAGGCGGCAAGTTATTCGGTTTGAAAAGTCATGATTGCTATGTCCTTATACAACGACTTCTTTCCATTGGGATGCGTGGGTATCTTAACAAGGACATTTTTATTGCATTGTTTGAGTTGGGAAATTACTTTCAAGAGTTATGTTCGAAAACAGTGAGAGTGAATGACTTGGAGAAATTACAAGAAAGCATAGAACTCATACTTTGCAAGTTAGGAAAAAATTTCCACTTGCATTCTTTGATGTCATGGCCCACTTAGCTATTCACTTGCCTCACAAAGCCATTCTTGGAGGGCCAGTACAATATTGATGGATGTACCCTATTGAAAGGTATTATTATGCGCTTATTGTTATATGATTTTTTTTAATATTATAGTACCGTATATGTGGTTTATATAGTAATTTCATGTTATTTGTTGAAGATTACTTGAGATTTTGAAAGGGTATATAGCGAATCGAGCTCACCCAAAAGGTTTGATTGCAAAAGCTTACATTGTCAAAGAATGCTTCACTTTTTGCTCTATGTATCTTGGTGGGATTGAAACCGTATATAACAGAGTGGAAAGAAATGAAAACGGTGGTGATGTTGACGTGGGGCATTCAGTTTTTTCACAAAAAGTCTGTACTTTTGGGCTAACTCAAAGGGCACTCGACGTGTCTGAGAATGAAAGAAAAGTGGCTTATTGGTTTGTTTAGTACAATAGTCCTTAAATTGATAAATGTCTAGAGTATGTTCTCATTTAGTTAACTATATGCATAACTTTTTTGTTATGATCGCACTCAAGTGCTAATTATTCACATTTTTTTGAAGCAGACAACACAAGAATTAGTTACAGAATGCAAATGTACATGACATTACAAGACGGCAACAAGAAGAATTTCTTATGTGGTTCAAAGAGCGGGTAACATATATAGATAAATATGTAATAAACATCATAAACATTATTCATTGTTCCTAGATTGATATTAACATCATATATCCTTGTCACATGTTCATGCAGATAAATCAATTACGAGCTGAAGGATCATCGGAAGCAATTGATGTCATTAGCTAATGGTCCTAGTTCAATAGTGAATATTTATTCGGGTTGTATTTGTAATGGAATTCGATTCCATACCAAAGATTGAGACAACCGTCGTAAAAGTCAAAATAGTGGATTGGTCATTCAAGGGGATCATCAGGGTATGTCAATTGATTTCTATGGTCACTTGACTAAAGTTTGGGAAATGACATACATGTTTGGGCATCGAGTTGTGTTGTTTCAATGTGAATGGTTTAACACTGGTAGCAACAGGACATTTCGCACTGAAACACATCTAACAACCATTGATGTAAGAAGTCATTGGTATCAAAATGACCCATTTGTCTTGCCAAGTCAAGTGCAGCAAGTTTTGTATGTCAATGATACCAAAATTAGGTGAACATTGGCAAGTTGTGGAGTGACTTCAACGTCAAGGAATATGGAATGTGCCGAAACTTAAGGATGTAGATCCCAATAATAATGAATTGCCTATTCTGAATGATGTGTTCTAGCAAGACGAGACCACTGAAATTGTCCAAATCACTATTGCAGATTCCATTAGCAACACTTTATGTAGGACCGATATTGCACCTGATATTATTCCAAGCGAAGTGGTTTTGCAATCTGGTAAAGGTGTATATGTAGAGGCTACAAACATGGATGATTTTATCTATGATGATGATAATGATCAAAATTCAAATGATCCTAGTGATGATGAAGATGAATTTCGTAGTCATAGTGACTCAGATATGGATTTTGATATAGAGCCCAGATTGTAATGTCGTTTACTGATCACATTATCAAGTCATTTTGATTGTAATGGCATGCACTTGTTAATGAAGTCATGTTTAGTTATGATTCAAATTGTAATGAATTTTTTTGTTGATAATTTCATTACTTGTAATGTAGTTGTAATATTGGACTATTAGCTTGTCTTTTCATGAATTGTCATACATTTTCATTGCTTATAATTTATTTGTTACGTACAAAGTATGATGACCCCGACCTCTGTGCTATCATATTATATTGATTCAATAAGTTTAATTGCATGATTGTGTGATTACATGCTTAATTTTGTAGTTATCTGTTATTACTTGAAATATCTGTTCACTTGTCGATTTAGAATCAAACATTGAAAGCCTGAATGGCTTCAGAAGCTAAAATTGACTAGCCCAATAGACTAATTAGAATATTTAGAATTTTATGGCAACTTTCGTCAAAAATTGATTCAGACCAAAATAATTAGAATAAACTGATTGAACTTAGTTAGAATTGAGCCTACTTAATTAACCTTAATCAACTATGATTAGACTAAGCTAATCACATGTATATATAAGTGATATAATCCTTACTTGGCCTCAAATACATAATTTGGCTGAGATTTTAAGAGAGGGAGAAGAAGAACTTAACTTAGAGAGAGAGAGAGAGAGAGAGAGAGAGAGAGAGCAAGGATAAATTGAATGAATTGGTAGAGAACTTGAAGGATTAAGCTATAATACACTTGAATTCACATTCTAGGTATGGAATTCCTCCTTAAATCTTGAAAATAAAACATATAGGACATGAACTCAAGAAGTTATGAGTCTATTTGCATGTAAGTAGAAAGAATTGACTTGATTATGGAATAATTGAGTATAATTGCATACATGCATACATAATCCTTCATCTTTGAGTTCAATTTTCTATGAATTTTTACATGCATGGGACTTTTACACATTTATTTAGAGAGTTCTTCATGTTTTTACATTTGTCATGCCATTTGATCAAGTTTTGAAAAGATTTCAAAAGAAATGAGGGCAATACATGTCATGCATGGTTCCAACTTCATGGTTTAAGTTTGATTTGAGCGATTGGTTTCAAATTGACTATATTTTCAAGTTCTAAAATGTTTTTCCATGTTTTTATACCAAAAATACAAGTTTTGGACCTTTGAATATCAAATATGAACTTCAAACACAGTTTTGGAAATTTCAGAATTCGACCAGTCCGCTCGAGCAAAGAAAGTGTCGCTCGAACGTGAAAATCAAGCTCCTAGAAATTTTTACAAAATTTTGTAGACCGCTGGAGCGACCAAAGTTGCACTCAAGCGAAGACCCTTTTTACTCAGTTTTCCGCTCGAGCAACCGTCAAGCGTCCATTGAGCGAAAAATTCATGCAACCAGTACTTTTACAGACCGCTCAAGCGACAGAAGTTGCACTCAAGCGACCACCCTTATTTTTGAACACCCGCTCAAGCGAAGGAAGCTACGCTCGAGCGGAGACCCTGTTTTCAACAAAGTTTGACTGACTCTTTTAAGTGCATACTTGCATCCTCATGTCATTTCGAGTACTCTTAAGCGCCAATTGAGCTCATATACACATGGAATGAGTTAGAAACACACAAAGGAAATTTAATTAAAGCGAAATGGTTATCAAATGGTACTCCAATTGTATTTTTGTTATGTGTTTTGTATAGGTAGACGTCCGAGGCCTGGTGACAACATAACCTACGATGAGTAATAACTTTATAAAGATATGTTTGAGTTATGTTTACTTTCGAAAATGTTATTGTTATCAAAATTGATATATGAATGATTGAATGGTTTATTGAAGTACTACTTGTCCTTAATGAATAAAGTTCCATTTGAATTTGTAATCGTGGCATCCTTTAGTGAGGCCCTTGCCTGGAGAAGATTAATACCATGGCCCATTGACCCTTGCCTGGGGGAGATTAATACCATAGCATATTGACCCTTGCTAGGGGGAGATTAATAACATGGCCTATTGACCCTTGCCCAGGGGAAACAATACCGTGGCTCATTGGATAATTGAAACATAGAGACCTCTGTTGTTAGACCATCATGGTCACATTGAATATTGAACCTTAATTGACCCTCGCGGTCCCATTGTTATTAAAGCATAATTACTCTATTGGATGTGCCACATGATTTGAATGAAATGGTTATTAATGCCAAGGTTGACTAGATATGTAAAAATGACATTTGCAATGATATTGAACATCATTTATATAACCTCTTTATTCTGTTATAACTCATTGGGCATTAGCTCACTATTAATGTATATATATATGTAGGTGAGCAAGTTGGGCATCAAGGATAGAGAGTGCATCGGAGTTACCCAGTGGTCAGCCTTTTGTGGAACTCTTGAGAATGAGCCAACTTGGACTTGTGTGGAGAGAAGCAAAGTCTAAACCCTTTTTTGGTTATGAACTCTTGGCTTGGTTTTTGGTTTAGGGGTTTTGTGTATGTAAGACTCGACAAGTTTGAATTTGTGGGCTGAACGTTGTTTTTGAAAACTTTTGTGATGTATGCACTTACTGTAGACGCGCCCCGAGAACTCTCTGATATTTGCACTGCGAGGGCGCGAAATCTCGTTTTGTTCTAAGCTACTACCGTTCAGACTCAATGTCACGGCTCTGAATCTAATCCCGCAAAGTGCAATGCAAGATTGATAAATCACCAAAGAGTCCAAATCCAGCAAATCGTTTTGGAAAACTAATTTTTAATAAAGAAGTGCCAAACATGGACTGCTTTGCCAGATACAGAGTCGCCACCTAAATATTTTATTTTGAGGGAATTTAGGAAACCCTGACTCGTGCCTAAGGCCACGTGTCCATCATCACCAAAGTTGCCTCAGCTCGGGAACTTGGGTACGAGAGGGGAAGGTCATGCAATGAGCACCCCCACTCGCCTGATCAAAGATCGACCTTTACTAACATGATATTTTGTTTTTGAAAACACATCTGTTCTTATTCCGGTTATTAACCTAGAATTACTATGTGATACACACAGCATACAAGTATAGACTAGATCGCCTCAGTTGGAACAAAACATTATATGCTCGTTTGTGAAAATAATTTGAAGTTTGCTACTCCCAAGTAGGCTAAAACGAGAATTTTGACGAATTGTTCCAATTCAAGCAATTCAACCTTCACCCACAGGCATTCAGGCAGTTATATCAAATAAGCAATTAGCTTCATGGCAAGCATGTTTTCATGGCAACATTAACACACATGCAGTATGCTAAAGCGTAAACACTCATAGTGTACTCCAAGCCAAAACAGAGAACTAGTTAGAAATCATGCATGATCCTAGTTCATGTTAAGATGGCTAATGCAACACATGCGAGAATGCAATTAAAATAGGCTCGGCTATTCTAAGATGGCATATGAAATGCAACTTGGTACATGTATTCAAATAAGAATTGAAATACAATGCAGTTAGTATGATGCGCTGAGCCCGGTGTATGCAAGACATATGAATGGATGCACACATGCAAGCATAAGGTATGCTAATCGAAATATGCCCTAAAATTGCCATCATAAGCAGTTAAGTAAAAGGGAGAGAGAAATGGGGGTTGGAAGACATGCATCATACACACGCACGCTTATTACAACAGTTGGCCCTCTCGACGGAGAGTCCGAATGAAGAGCTAACTAGCTAATCTAAGCTAATTAAACTAATTATTGCACAACGAAGCTAATTAACTAGTTCTAGTTAACTAACTATTACAAAACAATTAAGCAGCTAAACGCATTAACTACTTAAATACAAAATCCAAAGCATAAACTAGCTAAGCAAATTAGCTAAGTAAAGCAATAAAACATGGTCCTCAGAGGGAGAAGAGTGCATGCATGCCCGGTCGCCTCGTTCGGAAATCCGTCGCGATGCCCCAACTTGCCTCTGTTTTCAATTGTTCTCAGAAACTTGCACCAAGCTCCAGAAAGCTTCAACTCCACCTTAGGAGCTTGTGGGAGGGTGGCCGACTAGTTGTTGGTGTGGGAGACCACCTGCCGGCCACTTTGTGTTGTTGCAGGGCAGAAAAAGTGGTCGGCCAGCTAGTTTTTCTGGCTGGCCGACCAGTTGTTGCTGCATTCTTCCAATTTGTTGCAACAGAGAGAGAGAAAAGGCATGACAATGTATTTGCAAGATATGTGTGCACAACCACCCTCCTATCATTTCATAAGCTCAAGGGAGTGTGGTTCTCGACCCTCAGGCCACCAATTGCTCATTTCAATGCATGATTGCCGAGAGGCGAAGTTGCATAATTCAATATGAAAATGAATGCACACATAAACACATAAGGCCTAAAACTCTATCATGTATGATCAAGAACGTCGGCGACCAAGAATTGAGGCATGTTTCATCACTTCAAGTATGAAACGTCCCTCGTTTCTCGTACTCGGATTAACACTTAATCCAAGCAAAATGCGACAATGAGCATGGCATGCACAATGCTATGTAACATGGAGTATGCAAAAATGCAATGCAACACAAGCGTGCAAATATGCAATATAACTTAAGCATGCAAACATGCAATGTAACATGAACAACCTAACAAGGCTAATGGCATGCACAATGCTAAGAACAACATGGCCCACTTAATGCAATGTGACATGATTAACTTAACAAAGCTAATAACATTTAAACTATGCTAATGCATGCACAATGCAAATGACAACTAGCATACATAATGCAAATGAAAACTAGCATACACAATGCAAATGGACATGGCATACACGAATGCAATGAACTAACATGCAAACAACATGGCATACTCAATGCAATAAACCACATGGCATACACAATGCTCAATGGACTTAAACCAAAATGGATAGACCTCAGCCATGCCCAAAATAGAGGCCATAACACCAAAACAAAGGCACAAAAGGGCAAGGCAAACATGCACAAGTATTGGCCCATCAACTAGGCCTAAGAACACAACTCTCAAGTATGATGAAGAAGCGATAAACATGGAAGTGTGACAACACTAAAGGCTCTGAAATCAAGTGTGAAATGATGCCAAATCATTCAAATAACACAAGTAAAGCATGCAAAGGTCCTAAAGCATGAAAGCTAATAAAGAGGACTACAAAGGAGGCATGCAATACATGAAAAATATGCATGAACCAACCATG